GTTTTTGAGCTGGAGTTACTCACACGATTTGGTACATCCGACTACCACAACTATGATAAGGCGCTGACTCGTATAAGGCAGACATGTAATTTACGTGATTATCTTAAGGAATTTGAGCGTTTAGCATGTCGAGTACGGGGCTGGCCCGAAACTGCATTGGTAGGAGCATTCATAGGCGGTCTGAAGTATGATTTGGCGGCTGAGGTACGTCTAGAACGACCAAAAACCATGCACGCCGCTATGGAAATTGTACGACGACGCGAGGATCATCTAGCGGCAACGCGAAGGGGACAGGCGGACGCCCGCGGCCCGAGCAAAGCAACCACGGGCACACGATTGACCAAGAATGCTCGACCATCGGGGCCAGTAGTCAGGAAACTCACACCTGAGGAGATCAAACGCCGACGCGAGAAAGGTTTTTGTTTCAAGTGCGATGAAAAATTTATGTCGGGGCATCAATGCAAGCAAGCTTTTGTTATAGAGGTTGCCAACTCCGACGATGAAGAAGCTGAAGTCGAGGAAGAACCGGAGCCAGTGGACGACATTGAAGCATTCGACGAGGAGGCTGAAATCTCGATGCATGCAATGGCTAGGATCAGAGGGCCAAGGACAATGAGGCTACCAGCTTGGGTCAAGGATCGACGAGTGGTCATACTCATAGACAACGGGTCATCACACAACTTCATCAATGCCAGTTTGTCCCAGAAGCTGAATTTGCCAACCACGAAGATTGAGCCCTTTGAAGTTTGAGTAGCCAACGGTGAAAGGCTACAATGCACCGAGTCCTTTCGAAAGGTACCCATCAAGTTCCAAGGAGTTATTGTGGAAGCCGATCTCTTCGCCCTACCCTTGGTTGGACCGGACGTGGTCCTCAGAGTGCAATGGCTAGAAGGGTTAGGAAGGGTGACCACGGACTACCGCACCAGAGTCATGGAGTTTAGATCTGGAGGAAAGAGAGTCACTCCCAGGGCTGGAGGCGAGAAGGTTACTAAGGAAGTTGGGCTGAAGAGCATTAAAAGAGTTTGGCGAGGGGATGGCCAAATTTTTGCAGTGGTAGTCGAGAACACTAGGGCGCACATGGGCAAGGACGAGCAGCAGCCAGGAGATGTGCGCGAGCTTTTCGAGGAGTTTGAAGGAGTACTGGGCGAGCCCCAAGGACTACCACCCCACCGGGAGTTCGATCACCGCATACCACTAGTCAATGAGCAGCATGCTGTACACGTTCACCCTTATAGATACGCTCACTTTCAGAAAACTGAGATCGAAAGGCAAGTAGCTAAGATGTTAGAATCTGGGTTAATTCAGCATAGCTTGAGTCCATTTTCATCGCCAGTATTGTTAGCTAAGAAGAAAGATGGTACGTGGAGGTTTTGTACAGACTATCGGGCTCTGAATGTCGTGACCATCAAGGATCGATTTCCTATTTCTAGTGTCGACGACATGCTCGATGAGTTAGCATGATCCCCCTATTTCTCAAAGCTCGACTTGAGAGCTGGTTATCATCAGATTCGACTCCACAAGGCCGATAACCCGAAGACAGCTTTTCGTATGCATCGGGGGCATTATGAGTATTTGGTGATGCCATTCGGGCTGTGCAATGCCCCCTCTACTTTCCAATTTGCTATGAATTCTATCTTCAAGGAGTATCTACATAAGTTCGTTCTAGTCTTCTTTGATGATATCTTGGTTTATTCGAAGTCATGGGCTTAACATCTAGAGCATTTGAGAGTGGTGCTCGAAATCTTGGAGGCTAACTCATTCCACATCAAGCCATCCAAGTGTTCGTTCGGGCAAGAGATGGTTGAGTACCTAGGTCACTTTATATCCTATGACGGCGTAAAGGTTGATCCATGGAAGATAGAGGCTATGGTCGACTGGCCTAAGCCAACAAGTCTCACGCAGCTCTGGGGATTCCTAGGGCTCACAGGCTACTACAGGAAATTTGTGAAGGATTATGGGACCATCTCCAAGCCGTTGACCGAGATGACCAAGAAAGGCAGGTTCACATGGACCATGGCTAGCGAGGAGGCGTTTGAGAAACTAAAAAGCGCCATGACTACAACACCAGTGCTCGTCATGCCAAGGTTTGATGTATTGTTCGAGGTACACACAGATGCGAGTGATATTGAAATTGGAGCTGTGATACTGCAGGAAGGACGACCCCTAGCCATCTCAGCAAGGCACTAGGCACGACTCGATTGGGGTTGTCTGTGTACGTAAAGGAGATGCTAGCAGTTGTCGAGGCTGTAAGATGTTGGAGGCCCTATCTATTAGGGCGACGATTTCGAATTGTGACCGACCAGCAGCCACTCAAGCATCTACTCGAGCAAAGGATTGTTACTTCATAACAACAGAAGTTTGTCTCAAAACTTATGGGGTTCGACTTTGAGATAGTCTACCCAGGTCGACAGAAAGCTGTAGCTGACGCATTATCCCGATGGACAGATGTAGCTGAGCTTAATGCTATCACCGGGCCAACGTGGACCATCTGGGAGGAAGTTCGAAAGGTGCAAGAGGAAGATACTTATTGCCAGGAGTTGCGCCGGAAGATCGAGGCAGGAGAAACTACTGCTGATTACGAACTGCACAATGGCCTACTACTACATCGAGGCCGAGTGTTCGTTCCCGACAACGGGCAGCTTTGCGAAAAGATCTTGTAGTACTTCCACGATTCTAAAATTGGAGGTCACTCAGGAATCTACCGCACATAGATGAGGATAGCCAATACCTTCTTTAGGCCAGGACAGCAGAGTACGGTTCGGGATTATATCGCACGCTGCGACGACTGTCAGCGCACTAAGGCTGATTCGCGTCGACCAAGTGGGCTGCTACAACCGCTACCAGTACCCGAGGCGATTTGGGAGAACATCACCATAGATTTTATTGAAGGGCTGCCAAGTTCTAATGGGTTCAACGGAGTAATGGTCGTAGTGGATAGACTTACCAAGTATGCTCACCTATTCGTTGAATATGTGATGAAGTTGCACGGAGCTCCACGATCAATAGTTTCCGACCGAGATAGGATCTTTATGAGCGGTTTTTGGTCTGAATTCTTCAAGCTGCAGGGGACCAAGTTATCCATGAGCTCAACATATCATCCCCAAACCGATGGGCAAACCGAGGTAACCAACCGAACCCTTGAGCAATACCTACGGTGCAATGTTCATCAATTTCCGAAGAGGTGGGAAAATTTTCTGCCCTGGACTGACTACTGGTACAATACTACTTACCATGAGTCGAGCAAGATGACTCCATTCAAGTTGGTATATGGCCGTAAACCGCCAAAGCTGATCAACTACTCAGAGGGAGGCACGGTCAATGATGAAGTCGGTCGAGAACTTGAGAAGCGAGATTTGATATTGCGAGAGTTGAAAAAAAAATTCGAAGGCTCGATTAGTCGAACCAAAGCCTTCGTAGGTGGGAAGCGATGAGAGGAGAATTACGCACCAGACAAATATGTATACTTGAAGCTGCGACCGTTCAGACAGCGCAGGACGACACAGAGGGAAGCGACTAAGCTAGGAGTACTATACTATGGGCCCTATCAAATTCTGAAGCGCATTTGTCAGGTAGCTTATCGTCTAGAGCTACCCGAGAGTTTGCAGATTCATGTAGCCATACATGTCTCACAGCTAAAGAGAAGTCTTGGAGAAGCACACAAGTGGTGCAAGGAATTACCAGCAACTACAACTGATGGGAGGGTCATAGTGCGACCAAAACGTGCAATGGAGTACCACAAAGTCAGGAAAGCTGGACGCTACCGCTGGGAGGTACTAGTTGTATGGAAGGAGTTGCCACAGGAAGAAGCCACATGGGAGGATCTAGATGAGATACGTGATCAATTCCCGAGTTTTATCCTTGAGGACAAGGAAGCGCTTGAAGGGAACGGGAATGATACGGAAGT